GTGTGAGGCAGATACATGTGTGATTGTGAGGCGATGGAGTGGGGAAGGGATAGCAGGAATAGCTTGATCCCAGGGGTGTATTGTAAGAACTACACGCCTATTTATGTATCAACTCAATCTTAAAATCACTGCTCTGGAACATGTTACAACTTAGATTGTAATTCAGTGCGCTTTCTGAGATTCAGAAGTTTTCCATTACACGGTATCATAATACTTAAAATTGTTTGTATTGTTTTTAGCTATCTCTCCTGATATTTACCTCCATATTTCTAAACAACATGATTATACTATTTTTCCTCATTTTGGACATTATTAGTTAACTTTCTACTCTAGAAAAATGAGGAATTAGCACTCTGAACTATTCTCCCAACTATCCCTAACCCCATCCCACACAAAATCCCATGCTCCAAAAATAATTGTTTCATAAATTTTTATTAAGTTGGTACTATTTACATTTTAATGGCCACATAAACAATTTCAAACTAAGCCAGGTAGTGACTATGGTTATATTTCCTTTCTTTTAAAATTTTTTGTTTTTCCTGGAGTTAATAATTGATTTCCCTAGTCTTCTATATAATTATTACTAATCTTTCCACATATATTATCTGACTTCAGTATGAAATTCCTCTCAGTGTGATCACATATATCATATAATCCATTATTTCCGTGTTTTTTCCTCAGAGACTTCCCTTATAGAGAACTTTGGGATTATGGGGTGTGATTGCCAGCTAGACCTACTATTGAATTCCATCCTGGAAATTCCATGCCCTGATTGCTGGGTTGAATTCCTGGCTTCCTTCTCGTGTCATTCCCACTTTGTTCTTTCGTTTGGTGGAACCGTCCCTCCAGTAGCTTCTTGAGAAGAGGGGAAAATTTTTAAGGAAAAAATAATTTTAAGGTAGAAACAATTTCCCATCGGAATTTTGAAGGTAAATTTCCGGTCTTATTTCCAACGTTGCTGTCAAGAAATCTAATACCGTAATACAGATTCCCAGTGCCTAATATGTAATCTCTTCTTTCTCTTCCTGACAACATTCGTGGTAATTTGCTCACCTCTGCAGTTCTGAAGTTTCATGCTGCCCCTTGGTAAGCTCTGTTGTCATCCCCTGTGTCACTGGATACTCCGTGGGTTCCCTTCAATCTGAAGACTTGGGTCATTACTTCTGGGAAATTTTCTGAAACATTTTTCTGAGAAATCTCTTCCCTCAGTTCTATCTAAAATGCTCCTGAAAAACATGGTTCCCCTCCAAGGTGCCAAATAAGTTTTCAGGTTGTCAGTAATTCTCTGGAGTTTATTATTGCCTCTGTTGCCCTTCCCAAAGTAGGTGATTCCACAATAGTAAGAATCTGAATCAGAGGAGGAAACTCTTCCTCCACCTCCATCTGGCCAGGATGTTGTGAGGGCAGGAACTTTCATCACAAAGGGCCTCATTCAGGAGTTTCCCCCTCTGGAAGCCCTGTGGCCATTTCACCACCCCCAACACCACTCAGCAGGAAGGAGGGAGGGAAGGCAGTGGGGGGGGCAGGGAAAGGAAAGAGGGGAGGGGAGGGGAGGGGAAGGGAAAAGGGAAGGAGGGAGAGAGGAAAAATCGATGACCCCTTGCACTGTATTAAACTTTTCATGGTATTTATGGCATGAGACTTATTATCTTTGTTTATATGAGTCTCTTCCATAAAACGAAGTTCCTTTTGAAAAGGTAGAATATATTACGTAGGCTTGAATTCCCAGTGTTTGTAGCAGAGTGGCTGTGGCCCACTTGTTGAACGAATGGTCAGTGTCAGGCCATACTGCTGTCGCTTCTGTAGCGCTGCCCCCCGGATTCCAGCCACAAGTCCTCCGTCTGCACCGGGTTTTCCCAGGCTCTAGAATCAGCCGTAGTCCTTTCATCAGGCTCTTCTTCCCTAAGGCCAGAATATAAGGGGCACATTTATTTCAGAAGCAAACGCACAGGAAAGCATGACCATTTGATATCAAATATAGATTAACGATTCTCAAACTGTCCCCAATTGTCATTTTTCATAGCATTCAATTTTGATTAATTAAAAAAAACATACATTGTATGTAGAAGATGATTATATTAAGGAGGAGTAAGTGTTAAAGGATCAACTCAAGCAAATAATTTGAAATCACTGTGTCTAATCATCCTACGCACTAATATCGCAAAAACAAATTAGGATGTTTCACAGATGTTTTCCAGAATCGCTACGTAATTAGAGGTACATAGAGTCTTTTGTAATATTAATACAGTGGTGTTGAGCACATGCCTTGAAGAAGTGAAATATCCCCATGGAAATTCACTTAATAAAATCGACACCCTGGAATGACCTACACTTTTCCAGATCCCTCATCCAAATCCTCAGCAGCTGAGCTCATTGGGAATGAAACTTTAGAAAAAGGATTACCAAAAAAGTGTAATAGAAATATGCAAACTAAGTAGTCAGTAGTTCAAAATATGATTTTAAGTAGGTGGCCTGGTCAGTAGGCTCATAAGGAAAGTCAGGTCTTACAACAGTCTTAAAGGATGGATTCTACTAGATTCAGATGATCTAGAAAAATAAGGCCAGTATCTTCAGATCTGATTGACAATAATCCAGTGCTCCTTTTTGAAAATACTCCATTCAACCTACAGATCACAAAGGCAGATTTTAACTGTGAATCTTAAAATCAGAATTTAAATAGGAAGTGTGAATAAGAAAGCTTTAGAGATAATATTCTTTTAAATCTATCAGACTATGGGGTATGGAATAGCGCTCAAAATGTAGTGATAATCTTCATAATGATATTAGCAAATTTTATGTCTTAAAAAAAAAGACATTGTATGTTCACAGGAATGATTTGGGAACGTCCCAAGAACCTAGATTAGTTACTAGTTAGGACAGGAGGAGTTAATGTTGCGTTGAATCTACCTAATTTACAATCTCTTTTTGCAGCTAAATTGTCTCAGAACTTGTTGAACTGTCTACCTTTTACATTATAAAAATACTCCTCTATTTGTCAAAGATGAGTAAAATAAGTTACTCAATGTTACGGTAACTATTACAGTCTTCAAGTGAAAAATTTTATGTACTCTGTTTCCCAAGGGGAGTAAAATTCTATTCTCCTTAGTCAAAGAAATGAAACCAGAATTCAATCTCAACTTAAATGTAAATGTGGTTTAGGAATGACACAGAAATACCACTTGGCACTTCTCAAGTTAGGCTGTTCTTTCTACACTGGATAAAAATAAAGAAAAGAAAGCATCTAAAACAGAACCACCCTATTACAAACCAAGTTTCCCCATGAAAGCAGAAATTTTCTGGCCTGTGTCTATGCGTTTTTTCCACTTTCCGCAGCCTCCCACACTATAATGACTTATGCATGGAATTCAGGAACTTTATATTTTCTTTTGAGTGCAGAATGAGTGCCAATATGGAAAATGTGAACGCTGACCATTTTCAAAGATGGTCACAGACCTTTGAGGGGACCAAATAGCATCCAGAAAGATATTTGGTCAGGTTGGGGTACCAAATTCTAGTACATTCCTTAACTTCACTGGTTTACAGGATGGGAATATTTATCTTTCTGGCATATGCTTAGTCAGAATAACTTGAAATTTTTGGTCGAGAGTCAGAATGCTTTTCAATAGACTGAAGTGACCCAAAGCCAGCACAGCAGTTAATCTTGTTTATGGCTGAAACCAATGAGCCGATCCATGTTCTGTGCTGACAGTTCTTATGTGGAGGAAAAACCAGAAGTATCTGCTCATTGAATAGGATTTTTCTTTTATAGTCCAATAATTTGGTTTCATTATGAGACAACATTTGGATTAGTCATTTTTATAAGGTTGAGTTTACATTGATATAATTCATTTCCTTTCACCTAAAGGTTTGAATAAGCCAAGGCACAAAAGATGGACAACTGGAATGTGTTTATATTCAGACCTTATCTTATGCCTGGTTTTCTTATTTACTTAAATTTTTATGGCCAAATTCTAAAAGAAGTACACAAATGACACCCCTTAGAAGGCAGAGACTAAAGTTTCTGAAGAACTGTCCCAGTCGTCTAACCACGCTCGTTTCTTCTTTTTGGTTCATCCAAATTCCTGCCTGAGTTTACATTTTATGCATACTAAATATATGTGCAGGGAAGGTAGACTCTCATTCCACATAGACAAGAAAATTTGTTGGCTATCTAAGCCTGGGCCCTAGAACCAGGGTCTCATTTGAATCCTGGCTTACTTCCTTGATGTCTAACTTTGGACAAGATATTTAATTTTTCTGAGGTTTAACAATCCTGGCTTGCCATCTAGTAGTAATCACAGAATGCACGTAAATGCATTTATCCTCAAGCATTGTAAAGGGTGCTGTGTTATACTCTCCTTTCCATGAATTATGTGGTAATATGGGCCAAACTAGATTATTTTCCATGTTTCTTAGTCACTCCCTGGAGTAAATGCATCCCAGTAGTTTGGGATCTGTAGAATCTCTTTCACACACTCATACATTACACGTGCTGTCATTATAGCCCACGTTTTGCATGAACAGGTCCCTGGTGGCCTTTGTTGCATTGCAAACCAAACAGCAAGTAGATTTCTATGACAACTTAGGTTCACAAAAGAAAATTAGGAAAACGTGTAAGCTAGAGTACCAAGTTTCTTCCTGTGAATTTTATTAAATACTGCAATCCAAATATTTTCTTAATGGTATTTTAAATGTTCACTATTTCTATCTTTGTTCATTAATGATAAATCACTTCAACTTCATTTAAAAGCATTATCAGTGATTTCTGGCCAGAACTATTCAATGTGAAATTTTCATCTAACATTACATTACTTCTTAAAGAAGTAACACTATTAATGCTATGGTGCAGAAGCTTTACAAAATCTCTGTCTTAATCTTTCATAGCACAGATTAAATGCTCTCTTTTTCCAAGGTATATTTTGTCTTTAGAACTGGATATATCCTGATATGTTTAGAACTGACTATTTCCTGAACTATGTGTTTTAAAATTTTTTTAATAGGTGGTGAAATGACAAAACTCACTCTCTTCTTCAATCAGTGAATCTGAAGTGATCTTTCATCCAGTTTCATCTCCTTTAGTCTCATATGGAACGTATCTCCCTGTCTGTTGTTAAACTATGATGACATGTCTGTAGCTATCAGGAAGAGAAGCTGGGAAGAACATGTGACCCAATGGATGGGACAGCCTTTTAATTCTGATGGTTATAACACATCATGTCATCATGGACTAGTAGCTGACAGCTTGCAGGCAAGTATGGAAAAAGATGCAACTGTAAATGTGGGCCGCAAAGAAAAGTGTGTTTCGCTACCTGACTGCTGTCATGGGTCAGAGCTGAGAGATTTTCCTGGGAGGCCAATGGGTCACACTTCAAAGGAAGTGGATGGGAACGACAGCTACGAAAGTGAAGATCAGTTTCTTTCTCTGGAGGCCAGCACAGAAACACTAGTGCCTGTTTCTGATGAGGATACCAATTCTGATCTATATGTTACAGATGACAAACAGATTTTAACTACCCAAGAGCATAAAACATCAGATCAGCAGAGCATCAAGGGAGCAGGCTCCTTAGTAAAGACACTGCCCATCATGGAAGGTAACCAAGATTTCTGTAACTCCTGGGAAATGACTGGTGAAGCCAATTTAGTGCTGGTAGAAGAAAGGGGGGAGAGAAAAGTTGTTGACATTATAAGTAAAAGCCTGGAGTTTTGTAATGATATAAGCTTAAGTGAAATAAAAGATGCCTCCAAAATAAGTGCATGCAATTCTCTGAATGTGAAAGATACTGTGTCTGAGAAGCAACTGCTTAATTCTGCTGTAATTGCTCAGCAACGAAGGAAACCTGACTTCCCTAAAGATGAACATGAAAGAGACACCTGCAGTGTAGTACAAGATGAGTTCTTGGCTAGTCCTTGTACAGACACAGGAGTGCCATTATTAAAAGCAGATCCTGGAAACTGCCTTCTGCTGCCTTCTTCCTGCTCTAGTGGAATGTCAGCTGAAAATGGCCTGGAGAAGAGTGGTTTCTCAGAACATCAAAACAAAAGTTTTCCAAAGGTCAACTCAGGAGATGGCATGCAGTGTTTACACTTAAAAGAGACTCTGGCCACCCAGGAACCCACAGACAACCAAGTCAGGCTTCGCAAAAGAAAGGTAAGGCACATGCACAAATTATCTGTTTGGAATTTTGCAATTTTGTAAACACCCTTGTTTCCATGATTTATTATTGTGCCAGGATTAAAGAGGTATGTAGATGTTTCTTTTGCCTTGTAGTGCAGTAGTATAACTAAAGAGTATCTTCTTGGGGAGACCATAAAAGTATGTAAACATTAAAATATGATAGCACATTCATTTTACTAATATTTTAAGTGGTTTAGGAACATTGTATTTTGGAATTGTCTTGAAGACAGAGTTGGTTTCGCTTTCTTTTGTGGGAATTTACTAACAACCAGATAGCTAGCTCATAGTTGGTATTTTTTATTTAATATCATTTATTTGAGCTTGTTTTTTTTCCCTTTAAAAAGTATATTTCATCATAATAGCAGTGGTATAAATCACCTATTAAAAATGACCCCTCTACATATATACAGAGGCAGTAGTCCTTCCTCCCACAACATACGCTGATGCAGGTATATTTACTGTCAATATCAACTTTCCCTTAACCCTTGACCAAAAGTGGACCAATAACTGAAGTTATTTTTTCATGCTGAGGTCTCTTGGACTAATCCTATAGATGCCATGTTCCTCTAAGAAGGTTCCAAGTGAGAGAAGCAAAGATTGGAGTGGAGCTACATGTAGCATGGTTTATCTAGTGAACTTTTGACCAAAATTTGCCTGATCTTTAGGATTTCCCCCACAATCTTCCAGCAGTAGAGTGCTCTAGAATCCCAATGCACAAAGATGTACAATTTCTTCCATAAATCCAAAATGGCCATAGGTATTGAAAAAAACCTGCAGACTGGATACTTTTGTGTAACATCCTTGCTCCTCTCTTAAGATAATAATAATCCATAGTTGCAGTTTTCCTTCTAACACAGTGTTCTTAGTTCTGTTCAACTCAGGCAATCTATCATGAGAAAAAAACTTCTCCAGCTCTCTTTGTAGTAAAGAAATTGTGTTTCCATAAACTGTGGTTTTGCTAATGAACTAGACCAATAATGTGTCCTAAGTTCATTTAAGTGAAATCAAAGACTTTATAACAAAGATCAATGTGCTCCAACCATGTGCCAACAGAGCATTCTGTGCTTCTGGCAAACTCTTCCTCCCTTATATAAACTGTACTAAAATGTTAGTGCTCCATAAACTTGTTATGATTGGAATGCTCAGGTCACTTTTTCAGAAATTTCCGTATATCCTATCAAATCTATTGGAGAGAATGCAATAATGACATAAGAAAGTATTAACTGACCTATGACATAGTTCCCTTAAAATAAGGCAAACCCTGTCCAACTGTCAACAGAAACATTAAACATTCCAGAAACATATGCTCACCACTTGGACATTTATATCAATACCAAGAATGCTGGAAAGAATTTGCTCTTGGACATGCCACTATAGCATGGTTGCATTATGAGAGCTGTAATTATCTCATTTACAAGTTCTAACTTATATTCTATTTGAAGCATTCCATCATTCTAAAGTGTTATGGCATTGTTTGGGGGAATATTTGCTTTGACTCTACAACTCACTTGGCATGCTTTGTAATAAACAGATTAAATGCAAAATTTTTGGTTTGGAATTTACTCTAGAATATGGTTATGGGAGAAACCTCTAGAATCAAAACATGTAGGAATTTTTGTTCTGTTTGATATTAATTGAGCATTAAATACCTTTGAGTTTGGCAATTAACCATTTTACAGGACTTCACCAAAAGAAATTATTAAAAAATTCATAAAAATATGTCAGAGATGCTCATCATTGTATTAGATATTACTGACAAAAAAAACCCTAAATGTCCATCAAAAAAAGAATGTTTAATTATTGTTTATAGTTTAGAATGTTATGCAGCCATTAAAAAGATGGAGTGAGATCATTGTGCCCTAACTGAATGTGCATCTCAATGATAGAGATAGAGATAGACAAGGGTGTAAACCTCTCTATATGATTAAAAAGAATATGTAAAATTCTGGCTAACAAGGCACAAAATTCTTAACAGCAATTACTTTGGGATAATGGAATTAAAACGGTGAAGGTAGGGGATTTTTCACTTTTGACCCTATTTAATTTTTATAAAAGGTGATAGAATTATGGGATTATGGGTGAAATGTATACAATGAACAGAAGTACAAAAACAAAATAACATTACATACATAAAGCATTTGAAGCATTTTGGGCATGGCACAAGATAACCCTTTATTTGTGAAGTTATTAGGATTATTATATGAAATGGAGACAAATATTTTTTAAAATTTTCAAAATATCAAGCAAGGGTTCCAATCAACTACTCAGTCCTTAATGCCAGTGCACTTAGCTTTAAAATAGATAAGCCCTTTAGAGAGACACACAGGCCGTATTTTCATGTCTAAGGCATTAGGTGTCAGATTCTGAAAGCAGTTTGTTTAATGGTCTATATCTTTAAAACTATCAGCCATGTGACAGAATTAAGATTAGTGCTTGGAAAGGTGAGATAGAATATAAGATTATAAAATTTTAGTTAGAGAACTTTAATCATTTCATTACCTGATGGTGGTGTGAGTGAACCAAATGCATCCTTGAATTTATGAGCATTATTTTTTTTTAGGGGGGTCAGGATATAATTAAGATTCTAAGACTTGAAATAGAAAGAAAAAGAGCTCTTAAGAGTGATTCTCAGGTGTACTGAAATAGTACTCTAGGGATATCATTGTACTTTAGATTTAAATTATCATTCCTTGAAACTTATAAATCTTAGAAAGCATTCATTATTTTATATGATGTAGTTTTTTTCTTCTTTTCTGATATTTCTGGCCATCAAAAATGGCCACACATGTATTTATTAGGAGTCACAATAGAAGAGGACTGCATTTGTAGTATTTGTAAATATTAGCCTTTTAAGCTAATACTTCCCCTAAATGTGATGAAATATGTCATTAGATTGAAGCCACTGAAGTCAAAGGAAAACCAAGTAGATGATGAGCAGACATTCGGATGAGTCAGAAGATCATGTGGCATATGACCTGCACTTATAGGGCCTGGGTGGGTCTTTGGGGGAAGACAACTGGTTAAGAGCAATTCTCAGAGACAAATTCCAAAAAAATCTGGGAGAGGGAGAGAATCTAAGAAGTGGTCTCTTTAAACCAAATGAGATGTGAAGACGGAAAATATGTAGAAAAAACTTGAGGTTAGACATTTTTAAAGCACTAGTGTATCTGTTCTTGATGGTGGTTTACTAATGAAAGAGAGTCCAAAATTCAGTCTTCCCTAAAGATGACCTCAATAGTTACCAAATTTTTACATAACTATAATAGTTATATAAATGTGTGGACGTATTTTTCTTTGCTCACATAAGACATAATCCATACTGCAAAGCAAAATAAATGCCAAAAGATAACACAGAATGATCTGAACTTTGAGAAGACACCTAATTCCACACTGAAACAAAAACCTCACATTCCAGCAACAAACTAAGCTGTATCATTTATGCTATAAATTTGTCTATCACAAAAGACCAGCAAAAATGCAGCTTAAACAACATCTTTATGTCACACACACATAATTGGGTATCAGCAGTTCTGGACCATTCTATAGGCTCTGTGTTTTCAAAACCCCAGGCTCCTTTTATCTAACTGCTCTGCCATCTTGGGCTCTTATCTATATTCAAGGCAGGAAGAAAGGCTACAGGGATGGCCACATTCCAGTGCTAAGGCAGGATCCAGAGGGTACACAATTCTTTTTCTCTCATATTTCATGTGCTAGAACTTGGTTGTGTGACCACACCTAGCAATAAGGGCTGAGGAATGGAGTTGGCATTCTGGGCAAGTATGCACTGATTCTTAAGGAAGTAGGGAGACGTTTTATATTGTGGGATAACTTGTAATAAGAATCCTGAGGAACAACACGGCCTCATAAATCTATTCCAGTATATCACGACATGTTGTGCAAGGAATAAACAGGCTGCAAGTATGTTCTGTGGCATTCAGTATAAACACTTCATGCTTTAATCTCACACTCCAGAATACCTTTCCATGTTAGGAAAGTATTGTATATGTTGAAGTGATGTTGTTCAAATGCTACACTTTTTCTTATGGAAAAACTGCCTGGGAGCAAAAGACTATACCATACATACTATACCTATCTCTGGATTAATATAATGCATTAATTCACAAAGATTGATCAAAATAAGTTCTCTTCTTACTTTAAAGTATATGTAAATATGGTAAAAGTACACCTATATCTGCAGTCATCTTTTCACTCCTTTTTCTATGAGCTTCTTGTTCCTCTCTATCTCCTGAATGCCTGTATGGTTATCTGATAGCGTGAGGAAGCTAACATGGGCTGATAGTCGACAAAAGGAACATAATAAATCATGCTAAGAAGGAGATCAAGGTAGGAGGCCAACTGAAATAATATACAAGGGAAGGAAAAGTTGTCTGAGAAATAAAAAACAGAAAGTATATGTATATCCATGTCCCCAGGATATATTGAATGACAGCAAGGACTAGTGGAAGAATTCTTTTGCTAATAAACCTAGTATCAGTTGACAAAGAGGAGAGGAATGGAAGCAGGGTAAGTGTATATGTCTCTGCACATAGATTAATAATGACACTATAATTTTACACTGATTTTAAGGACACTGGCCTGTTGAGCAGATTGCATTATTTTTAAATTTTGTTTCCTTAGGTTAAGGATTAGGCCTGGCAGAGCCAAGTTGCTACCAGATGGAACGTTGGTGTGTAGATGGATAACACCAGGTCTTCTCAGCCATATTTTTAGTTGGGTTTGTCCCCCATGTAAAGCTGGCAGCTTTGTGAGTAGCTCATTTTATGTCATTAGACCACTATAAACCATCAAATTATTCCATGCCACTTATACTGATTTTTACCATTTAAACATCTAGAAAGCCACAAACATTATCTGCAGCTATTTGGGGCTCAAATATTTCACCTCCTAGCAAATATAATTCTTCCCTAAATGTAAATGTGAAAACATTTAATTATATGATAAAGCATACCATT